CAGGTGAGGCCCTCCATGGCAAGGTCCACTGAATCCCGACTTCCTAAGCCAATGTTCAATGGTCTGGAAAACTGCCTACCCTGTGGGCCAGTAAACATACAAAAATATTCCATTTTATTTGTACTCAAATAAAGCAAAACATCCAAGGAGTGATAACATCCAGTGTTATTCACTGAGCCAAACCAGTTAGGGCAACATCCAGTGTTATTGAAGGTGCAAAGAAGTAAGCATTCTCATGCTCTCCTGGAGCTAATTTCTTGGAAAGCAATTGAGATATATGTATATTTTTTCATACTCTTTGATCCAACAATTCCAATTTAAGGAATCTGTCTAAGGCAGTGGTCGGCAAATTCATTAGTCAACAGAGCCAAATATCAATAGTACAACAATTGAAATTTCTTTTGAGAGCCAAATTTTTTAAACTTAAACTATATAGGTAGGTACATTGTTATTAACTTAATTAGGGTATTCCTAAGGCTTAGGAAGAGCCACACTCAAGGGGCCAAAGAGTCGCATGTGGCTCACGAGCCGCAGTTTGCCAACCACGGGTCTAAGGAGATAATCCAAGGTAGGAAAAGAATTTAGTTATAAGAAGGTTCATGCTATACCTTGTAAACAAAAACCTATGTGTCCATAATAAGACATTTGTTAAAGTTCACTGTAATATAGCTACAGGCTGGAATATTTTGCAGTCATTAAAAAATCATCTTATAATAGAAAACTTTTAATAACCTGAGATAATTTATATAATGCATTTCTATGAGAAAAGGTAAGCTACAAAGCATATTTTGCAGTATAAATCCATGTTTAACCTCAAAAGGAATGATGTAACATATGTATACATATGAACACATATATACATATATCATAATAATAATCTATATGTATAAAAGCCTATGCGACCAGCCAACTGACTGGTGGCTATGATGTGCACTGACCACCAGGGGCAGACGCTCAATGCAAGAGCAGAAACCCCAGGCATAGAAACATGGAACAGACTGATGAATCTCAGAGGAAGGTGGAGAGGGGGCAGGGTGGGAAGAGATTAACCAAAGATCTTATATGCATACTAGAGGCCCGTGCATGGATTCGTGCACTAGTGGGGTCCCTAGTCCTGGCCTGCGAGGGGTCCCAGATTGAAAGAGAGCACAGGCCAGGCTGAGGGACCCCACCAGTGCACGAATCCATGCACCAGGCCTCTAGTAATAACAATAATAATAGCTAAGATGTATTGATACTTACTGTGTGCC